CCGCATCATTCAGAGGCTGACGGCTGAGATCGAGAACGCCAAGTGCCAAGTAGGTTATGGGTAGGACTCAAAGACCCAGCACAGGCAGACTGCAGCAGCAGGCCTTTGCTCCCAGGAGAACAAAGGCCTTGCTCTAATCAGGCCTCACCTTGTGCCCGTAAGGAAGCAGGGACCCAGACAGAGCACAGGGGCTCTTTGCATCTCACAGCACGTGGGCTGGAATTAACCATGTCACTGACTTCCAAAGGAGGAGCTCAGTGCCTGCGATGGCCTCCCTGAAACCTCGTCAAGGAGAAATGGGGAAAAGCCCACCCATCACCTCATGCTCAGAGCTCCATTAACTACCAGGCCAGGGACCCCGAGCTTCTCCCCAGGACCCTTCTTCCCTGCCCTAGCTCTGTCAGCTTGGACGAACCAAGCTGTGCCTTCTCTCTCTCCCTCTTGTCCTCACATCCCCACCCCCATAGCGTGCCAAGCTAGAGGCTGCTGTGGCTGAAGCTGAGCAGCAGGGCGAGGCGGCCCTCACTGATGCCCGCTGCAAGCTGTTCTAATGGACAGAGTAGCCCAGGAACACTAACCCTTGCTCTCTTCTGGGTTCCCAGAACTCCAAGCTGGAGGCCGCGGTGACCCAGTCTGAGCAGCAGGGCGAGGCGGCCCTTGCTGACGCCCGCTGCAAGCTGGCCAGTCTGGAGGAGGCCCTGCAGAAGGCCAAGCAGGACATGGCCTGCCTGCTCAAGGAGTACCAGGAGGTGATGAACTCCAAGCTGGGCCTGGACATCGAGATCGCCACCTACAGGCGCCTGCTGGAGGGCGAGGAGCACAGGTGAGACTAAGAAAGCTCTTGCTGGGTTTGAAAGTCAAAGGCCCTAGTTCTGCCAGACTGAATTTCCTTGACCCGCAAATGCGAACACAACTCTAACTATGGCTAGTACAAGTCGATTTAATAGCAAAAATAATTAATGATAATTTATTGAATGCTTACTATGAGCTAGACCTGTGCTAAGTCCTCATCTAATAATCTTCCCTGTGCAATGAAGCAGGTACCATTTTTCCCATCCAGTGGCAAAGAAATAGGCCCAGATTTCAGTGCCTTTCTCATGGCTGCACAGTTAGTAAGCAGAAGACCTGGGGCCTGCACCCCTGTACCTCTAAAATCCATTCTTTTTTTTTCTTTATTTATTTACTTCTCCCATGAGAAAGAGACAGAGTGAAATAGGCACCATCAACAGGGTCTTTACACCATGACCTACCCCCAGTCTCAGCAGGCCCCAGACAGGCATGTTTGAGCAGATCCAGTGTATTCAGGGAGTCCTGGAAACCCTGCAAACCCCTGATCCTTCCCATGTGAGTTCCGTGGCATTGCCACTGCACAGCCACCTGGCCCTAAAAGGCATCCCTGTGGATTAGCTTTCCGACACGAGGTTGCAGCTATGCCTGCCACACAGGCTGGTGTATAATAATGGCAATGCCTCTCTACACACATTTAACATCCCCGTCATCCACAAAGCCCTTTCATGCATGCTAGTGCACGGCTCTCCTTTTAGTGAGCTCGACTGGTACTACCCAGGTGGACAGCAGTCACTTGGGCTGGAGGCAGCTCGTTGAGTTCATTATCTTACCCACCACTGCTAATGATCAGCAGGGTTTCTCTCCATAATTAGAGAGCCATTAAAGAAAGAAAAAATTAATGCAGATTTGGGGATGCCTTTCTGCCTCTCAGGGGTAGACTCTAAAGACAGGATGACGCTCCCTGCCTCTAGGCAACTGTCTCAAGGAATCCAGCTCATTCAGTGTCTGGATTTCAAAAAGACTTCCATGATCTAACCAAGTTTTCTTTCTTCCTAGGTTATGTGAAGGCGTGGGCTCTGTGAATGTCTGTAAGTATCCGCGTGAAATCCACCTTAGGAAAAAAAAATGGGCCTAACTCACCAAACTAAGTGTTCTCTAGCTGAGAGAGGGCCTTTCAGTTTCCTGGCGCATCACTAGGGACCACTAAGGGAGGGCAAGAACCCATGTTTAGCGCCGTCTATTGATGGTAACAGTGATCTGCAGGCCACAGAAATGGAGTAAGGCAGGTTTGCTCTCTGGCCCAGGGGTCCTGGCTTACCTTCATACCCCAGTCCCCTTGATGAACTGGGGAGTAGAGAGGAAGAGGCCTGTGTTACTAACCTATAACCCCACTGAAAAGGAGGCAGCTACCACCATACAGACGCCCTCTGGGCCCTGCCGTGGGGTGGGAGATTGCTGCGAGCCGCTCATCCCTCCCTGCCTCCTCTTCCCACAGGTGTCAGCAGCTCCCGAGGTGGTGTTAGCTGCGGGGGCCTCACATTCAGCAGCACCCCGGGGCGCCAGATCGCCTCAGGTCCACCAGCCATGGGAGGCAGCATCACCGTCATGACCCCTGACTCCTGCGCCCCCTGCCAGCCTCGCTCCTCCAGCTTCAGCTGTGCAAGCAGCCGGTCAGTTCGCTTTGCATAGAGCCGGGGCCTCCTACCAGGCACCGCCCTCCTGCGTTCACCTCGCACCGAACAGTGTGTGAATGGAAAGTGCGTGCTTGCTTCCAGAATCTTCCAGATGTTCCTGCAGAGGGAAAGACCCTCAGGCCACTCTCCCCACCTTCTCATTGTAGGGAGTTGTTTCCGAGTTTCCTCTCAGCTTTAGTTCAGAGAGTCATTCTCAACCTTTCACTAAACTCCAACTTGGCTCCAAAGTACTTGCGGCCAATTCATGTAATTCTCCAGGCTTTCTGGGACACTACCAGTCACCGGTGTGGTTGAGTAGCACAGAAGTCTGGCCTCTGCCTGGGTCAAGACATGATGCTAACCAGCCAGCCAGGCCTTCCACACTGAGAACCAGAGAGCATCTCTTCCCCAGTGCCCTCTCCAGTCCTCACAGCAAGCACTTGCCTGCTGATTCATGTGTTTTGCTGCTCTCTCTGACTGAGTTCTTCTCTGGGGGGGGGTCACCTGTTCCAGCCAGACTCCTCATGTGAGCTCCCGACTGAGAGGCCCAGTGTCGTGGGGGGTCCTTTTTCGCCTATAGCCCCTGGTTAAGGGACTTTGGACAGGTCTTGCTATTCGGTGCACCTTTGTACATTTCAAAGACTCCATGGCCACTCCAGGTCTCCCCTGCCAGGCACAGGAGGGGACTGTGCAGTACAGAGCTGGTGGCCTGGTGAAGGTTAGGCTACTTCCTGGGTCTCCCTCCTGTTATGACTGTCTGTGGGTGCCTTGCCTTCTAGGTTGTCTCAATCTGCGTTTCAATAAATGCTGCCATGATGCAAGGGTATGTGATCTTGTGAAATGAATGTCTCTACTCCCTTCTTAACCCACCTCCAGCTGACCAGTCCTAGCCCAGCCCCACGCACTGCTTCCTCATTCACCCCACCCCCAGGGACTCCACATCTTCCATTTGGCGGTTCTACTTGGTCCTCCTCATTTCCTGCAGGCCTGGACCACAGTCCTGGCTCCCTCTCATGACCTCTTTTCGCAGCCACACTCCCACCAGCCAGCACCCCATCAGAACTCACCCTCCACCTGGCTCAAATTGCTGCCCCTTAGTCACCCTTGAACTTTACCCTTTGCCTTCTGTGGGCAACTGTCCTTTCATCAGAAGACGGCCGCAGGAACCCTGAACGCTTTGAACCAGAACAGGCCTAAGTCTTAATTCTGGGTTCCCATACAAGGGGCCTATAGAACTACCCCATAATGGGATCTGTCCAAGATTCTTGGAGAGCAGAGGTGATGGGGAGATGTTTCTACAAATGCTTCCAGGAGATCCTTACTCACCTTCCTTCTCCTAGCTCCAAAGTGTCAGAGGAGTTAAGTAGCATCAGATAGAACTCCTCATGCAGGAGCGTTTTGATGAGCCAGAATGTTTATCCTAAAGGAATAATTGGGGTGATCCAGTGGGAAAGCATGTGAACACTGACATTTCCTAGACCTGAGTTTAGACTGTGGATTGCATGCGTGACCTCAGTAAAGTTACTTTCCTGAGCCTTAGTTTCCTTATCTGTAACTTGAAGATAATGTACTATTGCTGTAAGAAGTGAATGAAATACACACATAATGTGCCAAACACTTAGCAGGTGCTCAATGAAACCGGCTCCCTTCTCCTCCCGCTTTTTACCTTTGGCCCCAGCCCCACCACCAAGTCAAAGGAGAAATGAAGTGGGGCCAGCAGGTAGTGTGGTGGTTAAGGTGCTGAACTCCCACATGGTCAACCATGGTTCGAATCCCGGACCTGGAGGCTGGTTTTCACTTTCCCTTTCTCTCTCTCTCTCTGTATCTCTCTGGCCAAATTTTAAAAAGAATAATAATAACAACTAAAAATAAATAAATCTTTTTTTAAAAAACCATATTGTGTGCTACAGAGATATGCAATAATTAAATGTGAATAAGATATCACAAAATTAAAAAGAGAAGAAATGGGGCTGGTAGATGGTATAGCAGTTGGGGCACTAGACTTCCACGTGGCCGACCATGGTTCGAGTACTAGACATGGTGGTTTGCTTTCTCACTTTCCCTCTCTCTCTCTCTCTCTGGTCAAATTTTTTAAAATAATAATAACAATAATGGATAAAACTGAATAAATAATTCAAAGGAGAAATGTCAAGGTATTAAGCTAATCTTGTGAGAATCAGCGGGAGTCACCTCCACAGCCAGAATTGCCTGACCCTCCTCCTCTTTGCTCTGCCCACATAAACCAGTGGTTCTCAAACTTTTGTTCACATAAGAGTCACCTGGGAGCTTGGTAAAATGCAGATCACTGGGCTCATCATCAACTTTTGATTCTGTCATTCTGAAGGGAGCCCAGTGTCTGTGGCCCAAAACCTGAGAAGCACCAAAATAATGCAGGCTTGGGAGGCATTGCAATGTGTATTTTGCAGTGTCAGGATTCTTGCTGAATTTAAAAGCTGACAGGATTATGTTTTGGTGGTGTTAACTCCATTTGGAATGTTTTGATATTACAACTTCATTTTAAGTGTAGGAACTTTTACTTAGTCGTACCCATTATGAGCCAAATAAGATGAAAGCCACATCATCAATATGTAAATGAGCTTGTGACCCTTCCCATAAGTGGCGTCTGAAAGTTGAGATAACATGTCTATAAATATTAGGGTCTCTTGGGGACCAGTAGTTGGTATAGTGGCCATGTCACTGGACTCCCACGCAGTCAACCACAGTTTGAGTCCCAGACCTGGTGGCTTAAATTCACACCGGGTGCACATACATGTGTGCCCAAGATCCTGAAAAGAGAATGGAAGAGAAAGGATTGTGGCGTGGCCAGCCCCCT